TCATGAAAAACTTGATTTCAGATATCACTGGGTTGGAAATGCATGTATTATATATGATAGATATAGAGAAGAAAGGTTTTAGAACACTTTTGCACAAAAATACACACAGATACACAGGAATTCCACCTTGGGATAGGATTCAAATGTTTTAATGGGCTGAAATTTTATCTGACATTGGAATAATAATTTTGGTTTATTGTTCATTTCAGTACAACTTTATTTATGTCATTTCTATTTAAACTAAAGCTTCTAAATAAAGGACTTAAAGATGTATATATTCCGGTTTCTTTGAGTACAAGTATTTTATAACTTAGCGTTACCATTAGGAAAATCTACTACCTTTGAGGGAAGGGCTACGGGATAGATGATAACTACAGAGCCAATACATGGAAAGAACAAGGAATGGGTATGGATTTATCAGCGACAAAGAGTGGAACATATTTTTGCATAAGCCAGGAAATAATCATTTGACAACTGGTAATATTAGAAATTCTGATTAAGAACAAACCATGTTCATATCAGCTCCAGGAAATTTTCTGTACTTACAAGCTGCCAGTTAGAGATGGCAGAGAAATGTGAAATTGACCATGAAAACAAATTCATATGAATCATCTGAACTGAAGAACAGAGGAAAACAAAGAAAGAAAGATGTGCAGCACCAAAGAGGGACGTGTCAAGTTGTGGCAAGTGTGTATTTCATTCTGTGTGTATTTATAGTTGCAGAATAGAAAAAGGAGAACTAGGGGAAAACTGTGAAGAAATAGTGATTGAATAATCCCCAATTCAGATTATAAAAGTGACAGATTTCCACCAAAGGGGAAAAAAAAGGATAGGAACTCTCAATCAAGATCTTTATAAATTTAACCACATTGAAGTACATACTTGTCAAACTGCTATGAACCTACACTAAAGATAAAATTTGCAAGTAACCACAGGAATAAAGGGCATATTGAATACTGAGAAGAATGGCTGAAAGTCATCACTGAGTGTCCATCAAAATCTGTAGACAGATCACAAGAAAAAGACACACTTTAAGGACTTAAAAAAAAATTGAAAAACAAAGACACACTCTGGAACTCAACATCAATAGTCTTCACAAATTATGACAAAATAAACACTTTCTGAGTCAAAATAAAACAATAAAAAATCAGAAATAATTGATCAGCAGCATACGTGGATGACAGAAATGTTAAAGGGTATCTTCAGGCTGGTGGGGAATTATTCCAAATGGGAAATGGATTCATTAAGTTGAGTAAAAAGCACCAGAAATGGTTAATAAGTTAACAAATATGAAATATTTTGCTTTCTGTTCATCATGGCATTTAAGAAACATAAAAAAGCATAAAATTCTTCATGTGCAAAGCAGAATATAGATGATAAAGTTGACTAATGATTACCATACTTGTGGAATGGGAAATAGGACAAGAAAGTGTAAGCAGGTTGAAGGAAGGGGACCCTCATGGCAGTTTTGGAGGGAAGAAAAGACAAGGAGGAAATATGGAGTGTATAATGACATCATGTAGAAGAAATGGCAGGGAACAGTAGAATAATGTGCCATTAGAAATTGAAAATAAAATGTAAAATAATGTGTCATTAACAACAACAACAACAAAGACAGGACAGGATAAACTGAGGAAGAATAGTAGAAATCAGGATGAAGGGAAAATAAGTAATCAGGTAGATTCAAACCTGAAATAAAACTTAATTAAATAGGAATGGATTTAAAGCACCAAACACCAAATAAAAGCAGAGATTGTCAGTTGAATAAAAAAGAACTTGATTTACACAGTCTTCAAAAATGTAATCTGAGGAAAGATGCACATAAAAAATAAACTTTAGAATAAAGAAGATATTCTACGGGCATAATAACCAAAAGTGTAATGGAATAACCAGTGATATTTACCAAATACGTTTCAAGGTGAAGATTATTGCAAGAGTTAATCAAAAGTATTTTATAATGGAAAAAGGAGAGAGTTCCAAGAATATATTATTATTACATAATATTCCAAATTATGTAACAATGTAACACAGCATCTAGCTCATAAAGCCAAAATTTATAGAACTGCAGGGAACACTTGCTGACCCACAATTCTAGTTAGAGATTTTAATATGCCCTCTATCAGTGACTGATAAATACTAAGTAATTACCCATAAAATTAATAGTAAGCATATAAAATTTCTAAATATGTCAATATGATTTGATTAAACAGCAAACAACACACTATCTTTAGAACAGCCATTCTATTCATAGAGGAGAAAAATTGCCCCATGCCTTCTTAGAGTTTCTGTCTGGTCCTAAGAATTAACTTGACATAAACTGCATTAACAGCATACACTTTTCACTGAATTTTTTCACATACATGAGAGCCTTCAAAAGACAAGGAAGACCCTAAGTAGCGACAAGAGCAGGAAAATTCTATTTCTTTCAAAATAAAGAACAATAAGTTTCTGAAGAATTTTCAAAGCACAGGGTTTTGGGCTACAGGTAGTCAGTGATGGAGAATTAACAAGGTATGTTTATACAACCTTTTCCATCCTAAATTGCCTGTTTCTGGTGATGAGGATGTCCCACTTCCTCCTGGAACAGGAGTGCACCTTTCACATGGAGTTCTATCTCTTGCTTCAGGAATAAAAGGGAGGGTCATAGTGCCCTCTGTGCACCTGCTATTTCTTAGTGGCTTTAACTTAAAATGATCAAAATATGCCAAAGTGGCATATTTTGCAGTGGCATGTTCTTAATAGGAACTGAATAAGGAAAGTTCATCAAGATAGACAACAGTCTCGTCTACAATATCGTTCTCAATGTAGTTAAAAAAAAAAGAAATCATATAAAGCATATTTTCTAATACTAGAGTTAAATTAGAATTCAATAAATTCCCTGAGAATTTGGAATTAAGTAAACATTTCTAAATAAACCTTGGGTGTAAGGAAAAATAAAGAACAACACAGTGAAGGGTGTGGAAATTGGAGGGGAAGACAAACCATGAGCGACTGTGAACACTGAGAAACAAACTGAGGGTTTTGGAGGGGAGAAGAATGGGGAGTGTTAGGTGAGCCTGGTGATGGGTATTATGGAGGGCACATATTGCACAGAGCACTGATTGTGGTGCATAAACAATGAATCTTGGAGCACTACATCAAAAACTAATGATGTACTGTATGGTGACTAACACAATAAAAATTTTTTAAAAATAACCTCATAGAAAACACGTTGAATGTATTTTATCATTGTCAACAAAAGCAAAACACCACATTTGTGGCATGTTTCTAAAGGAGAACTTCTTAGTGAAATTATAACTTCAGGTGCCTCCCATCAGAGTAACAGGCTGAAAATAAACTATGCAAACTGCCACCTAATATATCCAGAAGAGCATACTTTACCAAAAGTAGGTAACAAAAAACAAAATATGGGTAAATATAAAAAGGAAATATAAACATATACAGAATGGAGGAAGTCAAGCCAAATAAATGTTGGCTCAATGAAAAAAATAAAATATATAAGACCTTCCTGAGGGGAGAAAAAAACAAATCACAAATTACCAATATTAGGAAAGAAAATAAAAATATCAGTGTATATTCTACAGATGTTAAGGGATAAATTATTAACTAATGTTCATGCTATTACAAATTGAATTTTAGTACACTAAAACTATGGCTAAGAAGAACAGCACACCCTTATTTCTCAGGTAAACCAAGAGCCCACCATCTCCAGAGGTACTTTTGCCTCTGGTCTCTCCTGTTGTCAGTCCAAAGCTGAGGCTGGACCATGTCCATTGCAAGGTTGGCATCCTGGTTGGGAAGACTCCTTCCTGTGTATGTTGTCTTGGACTGAACTCGGTAATAGGGCATGGTTTTCCAGTTGGTGGAGTAAAGGAACCTTCTGGAGGATTTGTACATGTACACCAAGATCTCTGTCATATTAGAAGAGCTGTTGTGATTGCCTGCACAAAAGAATGACTGAGATCTTCTACAAGTGAGGAACTTGGAAAGGGAAACATTAAGTTGTCACAAACAAGGAATGCCAAAAAAAGAAGAGAAAGTTGTTACCTTAGAGATGAATGACCCAATTCATCTAACATTTGCACTGAAGTAGCTGATTTTTAATTTTTAAAAATTTTTAAAAGATTTTAATTATTTATTTGACAGAGATCATAGGTAGGCAGAGAGGCAGGCAGAGAGAGAGAAAGGAGGAAGCAGGCTCCCTCCTGAGCAGAGAGCCCAATGTGGGGCTCGATCCCAGGACCCTGGAATCATGACCTGAGCCAAAGGCAGAGGCCTTAAACCACTGAGCCACTTAGGTGCCCCGCGTTTTTGTTTTTGTTTTTTTTTTTAATTTTTAACAGAGCCACTGTACATTCTCCAAGAGTAACACTGGCTGAGTCCACAGATAGCCCTTGTCCTGTGTAAAATTGCTGATAAACATATAAAGCACTATGTAGCTCCAAAGACCAGCAATGAAAAGGGATTTTAGGAATTCTCAAAATGCAAGGAATTAAGACTCAGCAAGCCCTTTGAGAACTGCTTCAAGAACGCCAGCCTCTGTCACCATATTTGGACCTCTGGGTACACACCTAGATACAGTTTTCTGTAAACAACCTGGTCTTCCCCTCCCTTCTCCACAACCCGATTCAAGTCCAGAGTCGAAACCAGCAAAGTTTGCACTGGGCCTTGCTGGGGTCAGTTGGCCTGTGGCTTCCCTGAGTCTCAGCCCACCATAGCTGGAGGCTGCCTGCAGCCCAGACCCACCCCCTGCTGCACCTGCTCGCTTCAGGAGCACATCCCCATCCCTTGGCCAAGCTGGGGCCCGAGGAAGCTGACGGGAAGGGTGGCCTCTGGACCTGGGAGCACAGGGAGCTCTTCTGATTCAGAGAAGGCTCAGCGCTGGGGACCCCTGTCTAGGCTGAGCCCACCTGCATGGTCAGACTGGGCTCAGGCAGTTTGGGTTCTCACTGCAGCCCTGGACTCCTGCACAGAAGCCTTAAGTCCTCAGAGGTGGCAAAATGACTTCTTTGGACCCAGGTAGGAAAAGAGGCACAAGTGGTGACCTTGGCCAAGCCCAGAGGGCTCAGCTAGCACCCAGTGGCAGTACCTGTGCCAGGCTGTCTGGAGCTGACCCACCTGTTAGGGCTCATGGACAGCTGCCAATGGTGTGGGCAGAGATGCCTGTGACCAGGAAGGACCTTCCTGAGTGTTAGTGGGAATGTGTAGGGTGTGCCCTGGATGTGAGCTACAGTGTGTCCCTTCGTGTCTCACTCCCTACAATTTGGAGCCTGCCTTTGTGCCACAGTGCTCATGGTGCTGGGGCCCATGAGCCAGTGGTGGGTGCCTCCCTGGAGACGGAGGGGCCTAGTCCAGTGCCGGCAGGCTCACCCTCCACGCGGTGCAGGGCTGAGTGTGGTGGACACAGCTCAGCTGGCTGCCCTGTGGCACCCCGTGGCACCCCATGGCACTCTGTGGCCCCAGAGGCACAGCAGCTCCAGATCAGGCCTCAGGGCGGCTGCTGACCTGCTGGCATGTAAATTATCCTCCCACCCATCCCAAGCCACCTGCCTGCCATCCATGGGGAGGACCTCAGTGCTCTGCTGCCAGCATACTGGACCCAGGGCAGGGTGTGGCCCACCTAAAGGGCCGTCTGCCACCCCCCAGCAACCCTGCCCCCACATACAACTTCCCAGGTGTGTTCCTGTCAGCACCTTCTTCTGGGTGCTGACTGCCCTTCTGGTCACTGAAGCTGCCACCTTCCAGGGTGTCCTAATGCTGCTTTTGTCACAACCACTCATACCCCAGTGGGGTCAGGGCTCAGAGGGCAGGTGGGAGCCTGGGAGCAGAGAAGGGAGAGGAAGAGACTTCTGTCCTACAGGAGTCACCCAGGCCACCTGTGTGTGGATATCAAAAGTTTATTTTCTACTGCTGAGGGCCATTTTGTCACATAGAGATTATCCTATTCTGTCTTTCCTCTTGACTATATTGATTGGTTCTGATATGTGCTTATGACAGAGTAAAACTACTATAAACATGTATGCACAGAGTTTTATTTAAATTTAAATTCAATTAGCCTGAACATAGTACATCATGAATTTTGGGGTTATGTTCAGTAATTCATAAATTGCAAAGAACACCCAGTGCTCATCCCATCATGTGCCCTCCTTAACACCCATTCCATTACCCCCCCAACCCACCTCACCTCCAGCAACCCTCAGTTATTTTCCTATGATTAAGAGTCTCTCATGGGGGATGCCTGGGTAGCTCAGTCGTTAAGCATCCCCCTCAGGCTCAGGTCATGATTCCAAGGTCCTGGGATTCAGCCCGCATTGGGCTCCCTGCTCTGTGGGAAGCCTGCTTCTCCCTTTCCCACTCCCCCTGCTTGTGTTCCCTCTCTTGCTGTCTCTCAGTTAAATAAATAAATAAAACCTTAAAAAAGGCAGTTTTCATGGTTTGTCTCCCTCTGTGATCTCTTCCCTTTCAGATTTCCCTCCCTCTCCCTATAGTTACATATATCTAATAAAATTGCTAAATGCCTATAAGTTTAACTGCTTGTTCATAGCCTAGGCACATGTGAGGTTTTATAAGAAACATTCTGAAGAGTATTTTCAAGGTTTTTATAACAAGTCACACTGTCAATAGGGGTAAAAGATCTTTTATAGCAAATACTTGTCAATGTTCAGTGTTGTACACCATTTTTTAAAGCCATCGGAGATTATGCAAAGCTGTTTATCCCTATGGTTTGAGTTTGCATTTGGTTACTTATGATGATGATCATATTTTAATGTAGTGACATGCTATGAGCTGAATGCTTTTTGAGGGACTCCCATTTTTGGTTAATGGCTGTTTCACCCTTAAGATGTCTTTTCTTATGTTTTCTTCTATGACCATATAGTTTTACCCCTTATAAATAGGCATACACTACTTTTAGCATTTGAAATGAGGTAGAAATGAAATGTTCTTCAAAAAGTTTGCTTACATGTTTTTGTCCACAACCTATGTTTTCCTATGCCTTTCTTAAATTTTTCCCAGTTTTACTGAAATAGCATTGATGTAACTTATGAAACTTCTAGGTATATAACAGGATGATTTGGTAAACATATATTCTGAAATGATTACTAGAATAAGGTTAGTTGACATCTATATTCCCTCAAATTATTACCATCTTTATAAGAATAGCATTTATTTACATTTCTTTAATTTTATCTTACTTTTTTCCTTTTCTTTTTTAATTTTTATTTATTTATAATTTTATTTATTTTCAGCATAACAGAATTCATTGTTTTTGCACCACACCCATTGCGCCATGCAATACGTGCCCTCCTTAATACCCACCACCTGGCACCCCCAACATCCCAACCCCCGCCTCTTCAAAACCCTCAGATTGTTTTTCAGAGTCCATACTCTCTCATGGTTCACATACCCTTCCAATTTCCCTCAACTCCCTTCTCCTCTCCATCTCCCTATGTCCTCCATGTTATTTGTTATGCTCCATAAATAAGTGAAACCATATGATAATTGACTCTCTCTGCTTGACTTATTTCACTCATCATAATCTCTTCCAGTCCCGTCCATGTTGATACAAAAGTTGGGTATTCATCCTTTCTGATGGAGGCATAATACTCCATAGTGTATATGGACCACATCTTCCTTATCCATTCGTCCGTTGAAGGGCATCTTGGTTCTTTCCACAGTTTGGCGACCGTGGCCATTGCTGTTATAAACATTAGGGCACAGATGGCCCTTCTTTTCACTACATCTGTATCTTTGGGGTAAATACCCAGTAGTGCAATGGCAGGGTCATAGGGAAGCTCTATTTTTAATTTCTTGAGGAATCTCCACACTGTTTTCCAAAGTGGCTGCAACAACTTGCATTCCCACCAACTGTGTAAGAGTATTCCCCTTTTCTCCACATCCTCGCCAACACACGTTGTTTCCTGACTTACTAATTTTGGCCATTCTAACTGGTGAAAGGTGGTATCTCAATGTGGTTTTAATTTGAAACTCCCTGATGGCTAGTGATGATGAACATTTTTTCATGTGTCTGATAGCCATTTGTATGTCTTCATTGGAGAAGTGTCTGTTCATGTCTTCTGCCCATTTTTTATATGATTGTCTGTTTTGTGTGTGTTGAGTTTGAGGAGTTCTTTATCGATCCTGGATATCAACCTTTTGTCTGTACTATCATTTGCAAATATCTTCTCCCATTCTGTGGGTTGCCTCTTTGTTTTGTTGACTGTTTCCTTTGCTGTGCAGAAGCTTTTGATCTTGAGGAAGTCCCAAAAGTTCATTTTTGCTTTTCTTTCCTTTGCCTTTGGAGACATATCTTGAAAGAAGTTGCTGTGCCTGATATCAAAGAGGTTACTGCCTACATTCTCCACTAGGATTTTGATGGATTCCTGTCTCACGTTTAGGTCTTTTATCCATTTTGAGTTTATCTTTGTGTATGGTGTAAGAGAATGGTCAAGTTTCATTCTTCAACATATAGCTGTCCAATTTTCCCAGCACCATTTATTGAAGAGACGGTCTTTTTTCTACTATATATTTTTTCCTGCTTTGTCGGAGATTATTTGACCATAGAGTTGAGGGTCCATATCTGGGCCCTCTACTCTGTTACACTGGTCTATGTGTCTGCTTTTATGCCAGTACCATGCTGCCTTGGTGATCACAGCTTTGTAGTAAGCTTGAAATCAGATAACGTGATGCCCGCAGTTTTATTTTTGTTTTTCAACATTTCCTTAGCGATTCGGAGTCTCTTCTGATTCCATACAAATTTTAGGATTATTTGCTACAGCTCTTTGAAGAATACCACTGGAATTTTGATCGGAATGGCATTAAAAGTATAGATTGCTCTAGGCAGTATAGACGTTTTAACAATGTTTATTCTTCTGATCCAAGAGCATGGAATGGTCTTCTATCTTTTTGTGTCTTCTTCAATTTCTTTCATGAGTGCTCTGTAGTTCCTTGAGTAGAGATCCTTTACTTCTTTAGTTAGGTTTTTTTCTCAGGTATCTTATGGTTCTTGGTGCTATAGTAAATGGAATCGATTCTCTAATTTCCCTTTCTGTATTTTCATTGTTAGTGTATAAGAAAGCCACTGATTTCTGTACACTGACTTTGTATCCTGCCAGGTCTTGAGTCTTTTTTAATAGTTTTCTTATGTAATTGGCTGCTCCCATATTAGGGGCATAGATATTTACAATTGGTAGATCATCTTGGTGAATAGTCCCATTAAGAATTATATAGTGTCTTTCTGTATCTCTGACTACAGTCTTTAGTTTAAAATCTAATTTATCTGATATGAGAATCGCTACCCCGGCCTTCTTTTGAGGCCCATTGGCATGAAAGATGCTTCTCCATCCCTTCACTTTCAGTCTGGGTGTAGCCTTAGGTTCAAAATGGGTCTTGTGTAGACAACATATGGATGGGTCTTGTCATTTTATCCAATCTGCAACCCTGTGCCAATTTATGGGTGCATTTAGACCATTCACATCGAGAGTGATTATTGATAGATATGTTTTTATTGACATCATGTTACCTTTGAAGTCTTTCTTTCTGTAGATTGTCTCTATATTTCTGATCAATGATATTCTTAGGATTTTCCCTCTTTTGTGGAACCCCCCTTAATATTTCCTGCAGTGTCAGCTTGGTGGTCACATACTCTTTTAAGCCTTGCTGTTCTTAGAAACTCTTTATCTCTCCATCAATTTTGAATGTCAGCATTGCTGGATAAAGTATTATTGGCTGGATATTCTTCTCATTTAGTGCTCTGAATATATCTTGCCAGCCCTTTCTGGCTTGCCAGGTCTCTGTGGACAGGTCTGACATTATTCTGATGGGCTTTCCTCTGTAAGTAAGGAGCTTCTTTGTCCTAGCTGCCTTCAAGAGGGCCTGTCTACAATTAAAATTCCTTATTCTTACTATTAGGCTTCTGGAGGACTTTGAAGAATCTATAATCTTGGGGGCAAACTATTCTGCCTCTAGTACATGAATGCTGGTTCCATTGACGAGTTTGGAAAAATTTTTATGGAGAACTTGTTCCACTATATCTTCTAGACTTCTTTCTTTCTCCTCCCCTTCAGGTATTCCAATAATTCTGATGTTGGTACATTTCATGGCATCATTTATTTCCCTGATTCTGTTTTCATGGCTTCTAAGCTGTTTGTTCCAGGTTTCCTCCTGATCGTTTCTCTCTTTCTGTTTGTCCTCCAGATCACTAATTCCATCTTCTGTCTCAGTTACCCTAGCTTTTAGAGAATTTAGATTCAATTGGATCTCATTGAGAGCATTGTTAGCATCATCCCTGGTGGCTTTCAGTTCTGCCCTAATGAATTCTGTTTGGTCATCCATGGCTTTCCCCAACCTAGCTATTGCCTGGATAATTGTTAACCTGAATTCCCTTCTGACATATTGTCTATGTCGATAGCCATTAGCTCTGCTGTAGAAGGACCATCCTCTGTATTTTTCTTCTGTTGAGCATTCCTCCTCCTAGTCATTTTGGTGAGAGATGACTGAACACATGTAGCTGGATGT